TTGTGCAGCTGGAGACGACTCTGGCGGATCCAAGGGATCAAAACATCAGGGACTTCACCCTTGGTGCGCAAGGGGAAGACCGTGGTGTAACGCGTGTAGTCGTCAACCACCAGCAGGAAGTAGCGCTCACCGCCCGGTCCACGGACGCGAGCTGGGCCCCACACGTCCTGGTGGAGAGTCTGCAGGGGAGCCTCTGTCGGGGGGAACGAGGAGGAGTGAGGAGCGGCGCGCTGCTGCCCCTCGACACAGGGAAGGCAGGGAGGGGCAGGAGAGGGTGGCAGGGGAGGCAGGGTCTCGGGAAGACCAGAGACAAGGTACCGGGAGTGCATGCCACGAAGGCGCTGCACTGATTGGTGACCAAGGCGGTGGTGCCAGAGGACGGTCTGGTGCGACAGGGAGCGACACGAGCAGGGGGCCGACAGCTGACCTGACGCAGACGCAGACGCAGCTACCTGAGGGGACTCAGTGGTCAGTGTATACAGGTCCGACCCCGGCTGCCGAGTGAAGGTAGCCAGGTGGCGAACCGTCCGAGCACACGTGCAGTGGGTCACACGCTCATGGGCCGGGGTGAACTGGTGAACACCCCCATCCTGGAGAGCAGAGCCCGCCACCAAGTTCGTAGAGAACGAGGGGAGGTAAAGACCAGACAGGGTGCCGGACGGGACCGCAGGACAAGGGAGGACAGTGGAGGAGGTCGCAAGGACCGGGCCCCCGGAGGGGTCAGCCAGGGAGACAGCAACAGGCCGAGCTAGCTGCTCAAGGACAGTGCGGTCACGAAAGAAGCAGCGGGAAGCACCCGAGTCCAGTGTGAAGGTGTGCAGTGCCTCAGTAGACGCTGTACCAGCAGGCGCAGACGCACGAGCACCTGGAGCAGCAGACTCACTAGCACCTAGAGCACCAGCCTCACCAGGACCTAGGGCAGCAGACGCACTAGCACCTAGAGCGGCAGCCTCACCAGTACCTAGAGCAGCAGACTGGATACCGGGGTCAGGCGGCACACACAGGTGACAGGCACCCTCAGCACTAGTAGACAAGGCATACATGGCAGTGAGGATAGCATCATAGTCAAGAGCAAAGGTATCTACCCTCTGCCTAAGCAGCTCCAGCCAGGAGGGGAGCTCAGCGTCGTCGCCAAACTCTGTACGCCAAACGTCGCTCAGACGAGCGAAGCAGCGGGACTCTGTGTGACTAGGTGTCCTGCAAGGCTGACCAGTCCGGACACCTGCGCGAATGACGTACGGGCAGCGAGCAGTACTCTGTGACCCTCTACTCTGAGCGTACCACTCACGAAGCTGCTGGGGCGAAAGAGCCTTGCGGGGACGACGCTGCAGCTGCACCTGGCCACTACCAGAAGCTCCCGAACTACACACTCCAATGTGACTCCCACTACGGCCACCCCGACAACCCCAACTAGCATACCACTCACAAAGCTGCTGGGGCGTGAGGGACTCACGCGGACGGCCCTGGAGCAGCATCTGGCCACGCCAGGAGCAGCAGTAGCAGCAGTAACAGTAGTAGCAGCAGGAGCAGTAAAAGCAATAGCAGCAGTAGCAGTGGTAGCAGCGCGGGCAGGGCAGTGCTCACCAGTGGTGGGAAGGGCAGGCGCAAGACGGCGGCCACAGCGGGGCCGCTACAGCTGCAGGGCGGGGCCGCGACCGCGGCAGGGAGCTCCGCGGCAGCTGCTGCAGGGCGGGGCCACGACTGCGGCTAAAGGCTTCGCGGCAGTTGCTGCAGGGCGGGGCCGGGCCGCGACGGCAGCTGCTGCAGGGGGGGGGGGGGACAGGGCCGCGCCGGCCGCTGCTGCAGGGCGGGGCAGTCCGGGACGGCAGCTGCTGTAGGTCGGGGCAGGGCCGCAACGGCAGCTGCTGCAGGGCGAGGCAGGGCCGCGACGGCAGCTGCTGCAGGGCGGGGCAGGGGCGGCCGTCCCAAGGGCGGGCGCGGGGTAGGGCTGGGCGCCGCGGCGGGCAGGGGCGACTCCGCGCGGGTCCCGCAGGGGCGTCGCGACGAGACGGGGGGCGACGCGCGGGTCCCGCAGGGGCGTCGCAACGAGGCAGGGGCGACGCCCGGGTCCCGCAGAGGCACCGCGACGAGGCGGGGGCGACGCGCGGGTCCCGCAGGGGCGTCGCGACGAGGCAGGGGCGACGCGCGGGTCCCGCAGGGGCGTCGCGACGAGGCAGGGGCGACGCCCGGGTCCCGCAGAGGCGTCGCGACGAGCAGGGCGACGCGTCGCGGGGTCCAGGGGTCGCGCCGCGGGGTCCAGGGGCGGCTGCTCGGGTGCAGAGCAGGCCCGCGCGCGGCCTGCAGGGCAGGGCGGCAGGGTGGCGCTCGAGGGCGCGGGTAGGCAGGCGCTCAAGGGCGCGAGTAGGCAGGCGCTCGAGGGCGCGGGTAGGCAGGCGCTCGAGGGCGCGGGTAGGCCGGCGCTCGAGGGCGCGGGTAGGCAGGCGGGCGGCGCACGGGGCTGCACGGGGCCACGAGGGGCTGCGTGCGGGGCTAGTGGGCAGCGCGCACCTAGCAAAAGGGCGCACGAGGGCGCAGGCAGTAAGCGCACGAGGGCGCACAGGTAGTAGGCAGTAGTAGCAGTGGTGGGCCCTAACAGTAGTCGGTCCTAGGTGACTAACCTAGGCTCGTGATACCATGTCAGAATGAGAGAGGAATGTGTGAACTAACAGCATTGGGAGTACAAGTAGGAAAACCTAGAATGTTGTACCCCCTAAGGCTAAACCCACTATAGCCTACAGAATAGAAACATATACAATGTTTGACAGGCAAGAGAGAAATGAGCAAAAGGAGGGTTGGACTAGCAACAGTTGGGATACAAATAGGAAACCCTAAGGGGCCGTACTCACTATAGAGTACCCCACTGCAGGCTAGACAAGCATTATAATCTGACACACCCCCATAGTCAAAGTGGGGTATAATCAGCACAGCAAGAAGTCATAGAATAAGTCACAAGCACAACCAGAGCTAGAGGCAGTCATAGAGGGCAAGTGAGGAGGAGGAGGGACTGTGAGAGGAGAGGAGATGGGAGGCGACGGCTGAAGCTGCAGACACACGGGCGACAGGAGCGGCTGGCACAGTGGCTACCGGGACAGCGCCCCGGACTACTGGAGTAACTGGCTCTGCGGCTAACTCTGAGCGGCAGGAGCAACGGACCCACGGGCGACAGGCGCAGCAGGCTCTCTGGGCTACCAGGACAGCGCCCCGGACTACAGGTGATGCGGACGACAAGACGGCAGCCTCCGCTCAACCTCCCCAAACTGTCCCACCCCCCTTTCACACACCCCTTGCTGAACCCCTAGCTCCACTCCCACGACACCCCCCTAGCGCCACTCCCTCGGCTCCCACACACCCCCACCCCCCTCAGCGGTAGCTGCAGCAGTGGGAGACGGAGGAGGAGGAGAAGGAAGGGACGACGTACACGTATCACCCCCACACCCTCCTGTCCAGGGGACGGGGGGGGGGGGGGGGGGGGGGGGGGTAGAGCAGGACAGAGCGCGCGAGGGCGCGGGTAGAGCAGAGCGCACGAGAGCGCGGGCAGAGCAGAGCGCACGAGGGCGCGGGTGAGACAGGGCGGCTGCACAGGGTCCAGGAGCGGCGTCGCAGGCAGCTGCAGGGTCGGTTGCTCCAGGGGCCAGGGGCGGCTGCTGCAGGGGCGGCTGCTCCAGGGGCCAGGGGCGGCTGCAGGGTCGACGACGGGGGGTGCAGCGCGCAGGCCCCCCCGAGGGCGCTACGACGGGCGAAGGGGGGGGCCGCGCGCGTGCCCCCAGAGAGCGCCGCGACAAGCGACAGGGGGCAGCGCGCGGGCCCCCTGAAGGCGCCACGACGGGCGACGGGGGGGCCGCGACGGGCGACGGGAGGGGGCAGCGGGCGGGCCCCCTGAAGACACCTCGACGGGCGACGGGGGGGCCGCGCGCATGCCCCCTGAGGGCGCTGCGACGAGTGACGGGAGGCAGCGCGCGGGCCCCCTGAAGGCGCCAGGACGGACGGTTAAACCGCCACGCGCCCCGAGCGCGCGGCGGGCAGAAAAAGCCGCCACGCGCTCGGAGCGCGTGGCGGAAAGAAAATAACACGTCGCGCACCACGGGGCGCGCGACAAACAGAACGACAGCGGAAGCAGTTGGTGGGCCCGTTGAGGTAAGCGGCAGGAACGTGCTCGCTCTAGATACCATGTCAGAATGAGTGAGGAATAACGAGGAGCCATAGCTAGGGTTTACCTAGCTAGGCAAGAGAGAAATGAGCAAAAGGAGGGTTGGACTAGCAACAGTTGGGATACAAATAGGAAACCCTAAGGGGCCGTACTCACTATAGAGTACCCCACTGCAGGCTAGACAAGCATTATAATCTGACACTTGTCAGGCATCGCTTGTGCGACTTAAATTTTCGATTTTGAGGTGTATCACTGTAGGAAGTTTGAAATTTAGAACACAATCTGACTCATTTGTGGCAGATCGCAAATTTTGTATTTTAGCAGTTCATATTTAGCGGAATCGCAGAAATTGAATAAAAAAATCGTTTATTTGCATCAGCTGAGAAAAGGGACGCGCCCTTACAGCGCAGCAGAGCGGATCCTAGCTAGAACATACCTCCGTGCAAAATGCTACTTTCCCGACTTAGCTTTCAAACTTTCAAGTTTTTCGTAGAACGAGTCTCCGCCGCACCCGTTTGAACCCCGTGTTTCCCCGCCTGGATGATCTCGTCGCGGCAGGAGCTGCTGGTGGCTCTTCGCGGCCAGCCACGAGAGCTCGCAGCGAATTCGAACTCTTCGCAGCGCGATGCTGCCTCTTGGACCCAGCCAGCGGATTCGCCGTTCGTTTCGGAAGACTCTTTTGATCCAACGGACGAGCTGTGAGTCGCTCACCATCATCGTGTCCCGCGACGAATCCGGGGACGCTCGCCTGCGCCATCTTTATTACGCCCGTTTCGCCAATCTCACTCCGGGTCAATTCTCCTCTTCTAGTTGGATTCCAGTGTCATGAGTCGAGTTTTGGAACGCTTCAGAAATGGAATCCAGAGTCATGAGCGGCCGCACGTGAAGCATGTGGCCATTACAGCGTTATTGGATTCACTGTTCAGATCTCCAAAAAGAATCTGATCCTTTTCTGAGAGATTGAATAAAGGATTCAAAGTTCTCAAAGTTTTCGGATTCACTTTTGAGAATTAGCATTGGATTCATCTCCACGTCACGCCCCTGGAATCCTTACATGCAACCTATACGTCCTCCAGGCATCCACGTCATCCATACGTCCTCACCCCAAACGTCCTCACCCCAAACGTCCTCATCCCACACGTCCTCATCCCATTCGTCCACGTCACAGGCCATGGGTGGAGAAGCTTCTCCAGCTGGCAGCGTGCGTCACGGAGATCCACCGCTTCTCCCGCCGCCTCCTGGACGCCCGCAGTGCCGCCATCAGCGCCGCCGCTAGAGCCTCTCTCGCAGCCTCTCTCGCAGCCTCTCTCCCAGCGTCAGCACATTACAGCGTGGCTGGAGCGACGGGCGGAACCACCACCTCAGTGTCAGAGAGTGGCCGGGATGCTTCGCACAGGGTGCTGGCAGGGGCGGCGGGGGGTGCGAGCGGTTTGCAGTGTGCGTTGGCGACGTGTGTGGAGGAGGAGGCATTACTGCCGTACACACACGAGGTGGATCGCCTCTTCTCCTCCCCGCTCCCCGTACGAACCATCTGGGCCAAGCTCTTCGAGGTAAGATCAACGGAACTGCTCCCACTGCTCGCGTGACAGACGCTCTTGACCATTCTCGTAACCGCCTCTTCTCCTCCCACCATCCCGTGCGTACCGCCTGGGCCAAGCGCTCCATGTTAAACTGAATCTTCCCTGTTGAAGTCACTCCTGAAAAGATTAAGAACCCTTGAAATTTCTCGAAAGCACCACTTTCCACTTTGCCCCTCCACTCTGCCCCTCCACTCTGCCCCTCCACTCTGCCCCTCCACTGGTTCGTCGTTCCTAAACTTGTTCTTGCCTGATGTTTGTTTCTCCGTCCCCCTTCCCTTCACCTTTCTGCAGTATGAGCAGCTGCTGACAGGCCTCGTTAGAGTCACATGCGCCATAGAGCAAGGCAACCTCACAGGCGCCCATCTGCTTCGCTTTCTCGAGCAGGAGAGCAGCTTCGGGCCCATCCTGCTATCAATTGCTCTTGACACGTAAGCAACTAGTCAATTTCTCAGTAGAACGCTCGAGTTGCCATTTTTTCTCTGTAAACTCCACCCAGTCATGTTCTCTCTATATACGCACCAAGTTACTTTCACGTCACAACCACATGTGCCACATGAGACTGCTCGTTTTCGGCGTCAGTCAGCCACTATTGGCGTCAGTCAGCCACTATTGGCGTCAGTCAGCCACTATTGGCGTCAGTCAGCCACTATTGGCGTCAGTCAGCCACTATTGGCGTCAGTCAGCCACTATTGGCGTCAGTCAGCCACTATTGGCGTCAGTCAGCCACTATTGGCGTCAGTCAGCCACTATTGGCGTCAGTCAGCCACTATTGGCGTCAGTCAGCCACTATTGGCGTCAGTCAGCCACTATTGGCGTCAGTCAGCCACTATTGGCGTCAGTCAGCCACTATTGGCGTCAGTCAGCCACTATTGGCGTCAGTCAGCCACTATTGGCGTCAGTCAGCCACTATTGGCGTCAGTCAGCCACTATTGGCGTCAGTCAGCCACTATTGGCGTCAGTCAGCCACTATTGGCGTCAGTCAGCCACTATTGGCGTCAGTCAGCCACTATTGGCGTCAGTCAGCCACTATTGGCGTCAGTCAGCCACTATTGGCGTCAGTCAGCCACTATTGGCGTCAGTCAGCCACTATTGGCGTCAGTCAGCCACTATTGGCGTCAGTCAGCCACTATTGGCGTCAGTCAGCCACTATTGGCGTCAGTCAGCCACTATTGGCGTTTCTGCCCCCCTGCCCCCCACTTCCCCACCCCTTGCGTGCGTCTATCCCCACAGGTGCATCCGCCACTGCCAGCGAGTGTGGGTGGGGCAGCTGGCGCACTGGATGGCGTTTGGCACCTTGCCCCCCGATGGCGGCGCCGAGTTCTTCATCTCCAGGTGCTGCCGCCCTCCCCTCCTCTCCTCCCCTCCTCTCCTCCTCTCCCCTCCCTTCCTCTCTCATCCCCTCCCCTCCCTTCCCCTCCCATCCCCTCCCGTTCTGTCCACTCCCCTCCCTTCCCCACCCCTCCCGTCCCCTCCCATCCCTTCCACTCCCCACCCAGCCCATACCATCCAGTCCCCTCCCCTTCCATGCCCCCCTTCTCTCGTCTCCTTCAGTGGTGCACTTCCGTTTTCGTCTCCCCACTCTCGAGAGGCCTGATATGTGTTCAAATCAAACACAAGGAGGCCTGCCCTCCCTGCTGCGACCCCCCCCATTTGTTGCCCTCTGATTACTGAATCTTTTTTTTTCTTATCCATCGTTTGTGTGTGATGTGCATGTGCGTGTGTGCTTGTGCATTTACGTGTGTGTGTTGTGCTTGTGCATGTGCATGTGTATGTGCCTGCTCATTTCTGCATGTGTATGTGTATGTGTATGTGTATGTGTATGTGTATCTACAGGGCTGCACCAGCACCTCGGCCTGGTGCAGTGGCGGAGAGCAGAGCAGAGAGGAGGGAGGAGAGGGGTTCGGACACATGCATAATGAGGTGGGACGAGTACAGCAGCAATGAGGTGGGACGAGTACAGCAGCAATGAGGTGGGACGAGTACAGCAGCAATGAGGTGGGACGAGTACAGCAGCAATGAGGTGGGACGAGTACAGCAGCAATGAGGTGGGACGAGTACAGCAGCAATGAGGTGGGACGAGTACAGCAGCAATGAGGTGGGACGAGTACAGCAGCAATGAGGTGGGACGAGTACAGCAGCAATGAGGTGGGACGAGTACAGCAGCAATGAGGTGGGACGAGTACAGCAGCAATGAGGTGGGACGAGTACAGCAGCAATGAGGTGGGACGAGTACAGCAGCAATGAGGTGGGACGAGTACAGCAGCAATGAGGTGGGACGAGTACAGCAGCAATGAGGTGGGACGAGTACAGCAGCAATGAGGTGGGACGAGTACAGCAGCAATGAGGTGGGACGAGTACAGCAGCAATGAGGTGGGACGAGTACAGCAGCAATGAGGTGGGACGAGTACAGCAGCAATGAGGTGGGACGAGTACAGCAGCAATGAGGTGGGACGAGTACAGCAGCAATGAGGTGGGACGAGTACAGCAGCAATGAGGTGGGACGAGTACAGCAGCAATGAGGTGGGACGAGTACAGCAGCAATGAGGTGGGACGAGTACAGCATCAATGAGGTGGGACGAGTACAGCAGCAATGAGGTGGGACGAGTACAGCAGCAATGAGGTGGGACGAGTACAGCAGCAATGAGGTGGGACGAGTACAGCAGCAATGAGGTGGGACGAGTACAGCAGCAATGAGGTGGGACGAGTACAGCATCAATGAGGTGGGACGAGTACAGCAGCAATGAGGTGGGACGAGTACAGCAGCAATGAGGTGGGACGAGTACAGCAGCAATGAGGTGGGACGAGTACAGCAGCAATGAGGTGGGACGAGTACAACATCAATGAGGTGGGACGAGTACAGCAGCAATGAGGTGGGACGAGTACAGCAGCAATGAGGTGGGACGAGTACAGCAGCAATGAGGTGGGACGAGTACAGCATCAATGAGGTGGGACGAGTACAGCAGCAATGAGGTGGGACGAGTACAGCATCAATGAGGTGGGACGAGTACAGCAGCAATGAGGTGGGACGAGTACAGCAGCAATGAGGTGGGACGAGTACAGCAGCAATGAGGTGGGACGAGTACAGCAGCAATGAGGTGGGACGAGTACAGCATCAATGAGGTGGGACGAGTACAGCAGCAATGAGGTGGGACGAGTACAGCAGCAATGAGGTGGGACGAGTACAGCAGCAATGAGGTGGGACGAGTACAGCATCAATGAGGTGGGACGAGTACAGCAGCAATGAGGTGGGACGAGTACAGCAGCAATGAGGTGGGACGAGTACAGCAGCAATGAGGTGGGACGAGTACAGCAGCAATGAGGTGGGACGAGTACAGCAGCAATGAGGTGGGACGAGTACAGCATCAATGAGGTGGGACGAGTACAGCAGCAATGAGGTGGGACGAGTACAGCATCAATGAGGTGGGACGAGTACAGCAGCAATGAGGTGGGACGAGTACAGCATCAATGAGGTGGGACGAGTACAGCAGCAATGAGGTGGGACGAGTACAGCATCAATGAGGTGGGACGAGTACAGCAGCAATGAGGTGGGACGAGTACAGCATCAATGAGGTGGGACGAGTACAGCAGCAATGAGGTGGGACGAGTACAGCAGCAATGAGGTGGGACGAGTACAGCAGCAATGAGGTGGGACGAGTACAGCATCAATGAGGTGGGACGAGTACAGCAGCAATGAGGTGGGACGAGTACAGCAGCAATGAGGTGGGACGAGTACAGCAGCAATGAGGTGGGACGAGTACAGCATCAATGAGGTGGGACGAGTACAGCAGCAATGAGGTGGGACGAGTACAGCAGCAATGAGGTGGGACGAGTACAGCAGCAATGAGGTGGGACGAGTACAGCAGCAATGAGGTGGGACGAGTACAGCAGCAATGAGGTGGGACGAGTACAGCAGCAATGAGGTGGGACGAGTACAGCAGCAATGAGGTGGGACGAGTACAGCAGCAATGAGGTGGGACGAGTACAGCAGCAATGAGGTGGGACGAGTACAGCAGCAATGAGGTGGGACGAGTACAGCAGCAATGAGGTGGGACGAGTACAGCATCAATGAGGTGGGACGAGTACAGCAGCAATGAGGTGGGACGAGTACAGCAGCAATGAGGTGGGACGAGTACAGCAGCAATGAGGTGGGACGAGTACAGCAGCAATGAGGTGGGACGAGTACAGCAGCAATGAGGTGGGACGAGTACAGCATCAATGAGGTGGGACGAGTACAGCAGCAATGAGGTGGGACGAGTACAGCAGCAATGAGGTGGGACGAGTACAGCAGCAATGAGGTGGGACGAGTACAGCAGCAATGAGGTGGGACGAGTACAGCAGCAATGAGGTGGGACGAGTACAGCAGCAATGAGGTGGGACGAGTACAGCAGCAATGAGGTGGGACGAGTACAGCAGCAATGAGGTGGGACGAGTACAGCAGCAATGAGGTGGGACGAGTACAGCAGCAATGAGGTGGGACGAGTACAGCAGCAATGAGGTGGGACGAGTACAGCAGTCAATGAGGTGGGACGAGTACAGCAGCAATGAGGTGGGACGAGTACAGCAGCAATGAGGTGGGACGAGTACAGCAGCAATGAGGTGGGACGAGTACAGCAGCAATGAGGTGGGACGAGTACAGCAGCAATGAGGTGGGACGAGTACAGCAGCAATGAGGTGGGACGAGTACAGCAGCAATGAGGTGGGACGAGTACAGCAGCAATGAGGTGGGACGAGTACAGCAGCAATGAGGTGGGACGAGTACAGCAGCAATGAGGTGGGACGAGTACAGCAGCAATGAGGTGGGACGAGTACAGCAGCAATGAGGTGGGACGAGTACAGCATCAATGAGGTGGGACGAGTACAGCAGCAATGAGGTGGGACGAGTACAGCAGCAATGAGGTGGGACGAGTACAGCAGCAATGAGGTGGGACGAGTACAGCAGCAATGAGGTGGGACGAGTACAGCAGCAATGAGGTGGGACGAGTACAGCAGCAATGAGGTGGGACGAGTACAGCATCAATGAGGTGGGACGAGTACAGCAGCAATGAGGTGGGACGAGTACAGCATCAATGAGGTGGGACGAGTACAGCAGCAATGAGGTGGGACGAGTACAGCAGCAATGAGGTGGGACGAGTACAGCAGCAATGAGGTGGGACGAGTACAGCAGCAATGTGGTGGGACGAGTACAGCAGCAATGAGGTGGGACGAGTACAGCAGCAATGAGGTGGGACGAGTACAGCAGCAATGAGGTGGGACGAGTACAGCATCAATGAGGTGGGACGAGTACAGCAGCAATGAGGTGGGACGAGTACAGCAGCAATGAGGTGGGACGAGTACAGCAGCAATGAGGTGGGACGAGTACAGCAGCAATGAGGTGGGACGAGTACAGCAGCAATGAGGTGGGACGAGTACAGCAGCAATGAGGTGGGACGAGTACAGCAGCAATGAGGTGGGACGAGTACAGCAGCAATGAGGTGGGACGAGTACAGCAGCAATGAGGTGGGACGAGTACAGCAGCAATGAGGTGGGACGAGTACAGCAGCAATGAGGTGGGACGAGTACAGCAGCAATGAGGTGGGACGAGTACAGCAGCAATGAGGTGGGACGAGTACAGCAGCAATGAGGTGGGACGAGTACAGCAGCAATGAGGTGGGACGAGTACAGCAGCAATGAGGTGGGACGAGTACAGCAGCAATGAGGTGGGACGAGTACAGCAGCAATGAGGTGGGACGAGTACAGCATCAATGAGGTGGGACGAGTACAGCAGCAATGAGGTGGGACGAGTACAGCAGCAATGAGGTGGGACGAGTACAGCAGCAATGAGGTGGGACGAGTACAGCAGCAATGAGGTGGGACGAGTACAGCAGCAATGAGGTGGGACGAGTACAGCAGCAATGAGGTGGGACGAGTACAGCAGCAATGAGGTGGGACGAGTACAGCAGCAATGAGGTGGGACGAGTACAGCAGCAATGAGGTGGGACGAGTACAGCAGCAATGAGGTGGGACGAGTACAGCAGCAATGAGGTGGGACGAGTACAGCAGCAATGAGGTGGGACGAGTACAGCATCAATGAGGTGGGACGAGTACAGCAGCAATGAGGTGGGACGAGTACAGCAGCAATGAGGTGGGACGAGTACAGCAGCAATGAGGTGGGACGAGTACAGCAGCAATGAGGTGGGACGAGTACAGCAGCAATGAGGTGGGACGAGTACAGCAGCAATGAGGTGGGACGAGTACAGCAGCAATGAGGTGGGACGAGTACAGCAGCAATGAGGTGGGACGAGTACAGCAGCAATGAGGTGGGACGAGTACAGCAGCAATGAGGTGGGACGAGTACAGCAGCAATGAGGTGGGGACGAGTACAGCAGCAATGAGGTGGGACGAGTACAGCAGCAATGAGGTGGGACGAGTACAGCATCAATGAGGTGGGACGAGTACAGCAGCAATGAGGTGGGACGAGTACAGCAGCAATGAGGTGGACGAGTACAGCAGCAATGAGGTGGGACGAGTACAGCAGCAATGAGGTGGGACGAGTACAGCAGCAATGAGGTGGGACGAGTACAGCAGCAATGAGGTGGGACGATTACAGCAGCAATG